ATATATATATATATATATATATATATAACATGTGCCACAACAGAACAAGATCTAAAATCCTGAAGACCTAAGATAAATAACAGATTTCAGAACTAATTTTAAGAAAATATAAAACAAGGGTCAATAACAAACATGGATGCCCGAGATGCATTAAATAAATAAATGAATTCAATCTCATGTGCCGAGCCCTTAGAAATGTAATATTTGTATTTACATTGGCTTCAGAGAGTTTCAGCATTTATACAGTGTTCAGTAATAATGAATATTGTTTCTGTTTAACCTGAATTAACCGTGCTTTTTCACGAAAACGTCAAAATATATCATATTTAAATGTATTAAAACATAATATTATAACAACTTTTATATTTAAATTATATTATAATTTAAATACAATAAATGAATTGTATCAATAATTATATTACAAATAAATAATTGTATGCATATATAATTTAAACTTTATTATTGACATATTAAAAAAAAATTTTTTTTATTATTTATACAATTAGCTAACTACAATATCTAAATATGCATACTCAGTAGGCTACTTCAACCGCAGTTTAATAATAAAGGGTTAATCATTTATCAGCGTACCATAAAGGCCCAGATCTTTTCTTATCCTTGGCTGTGTTCCAAATGGCATACTTGCTTACTGCTTACTGCCCAGTACACAGTGCATACTGCCTACTATTTTCTTAAAGAATAGTGTGTGAAACAGTATACAATAAGCAATAAATGTTTCAGAGCAGTATGCTTAAGTGCTGTCACATGACAAACACTGAACATTAATTCAGCACATTGCTGTCATAGCTGTCAAGGTTGTTACCTTAGAAACAAATGAGCTAACTGTTCTTTTTACAAAGGCTTGTTAATAAGGCTTCATACTAGTAAACAATGCTATATTGCCCAATTGAACTCATTTCATAATTGATTAACTTTACATATTGGACAGAACAAAATCAACACTGAGCTGTCTTTATTGATATTTTTGGTAGTTACACTAAGTGGCGATATATTAAAAAAGCCATATATTCTAGTTACACTAAGTGCAAATAATGATCAATTCTGTTTACACTAAAATAGCAGCATTTTCTTTAGCAACAGGAGTGTAAATAGTAGTTAGGTGGCAGATATTTATACCTCAATACTGTAGTACATTATAAAACAGTATGCAATAACATATTGAGTGTAAATTATCAAATATATATAAATTGTATTAGATGAATGCCACTTTATTGGGACAAAAACCTACCTAAAGCATACACAACACTGTATTATTGAGGCGTTTTATTTCCACTTTTCAAATATTTACTTAATTTTTATTGAAAATAAATTTCTTTCTGATGGGAAAAGGAGAAGCATGAGTTTGACAAAAGCCGGGATCGAACTCGGGTCGACTGCGTCAACAGCAAACAGCTTACGTTTTACTGCTGCGCCACTGATATGTCAGACATGCAAGTGTCCAGGCACTGGTGGGCGGAGTTCATGTAAATAGCCTCTGCCAACAAATTGGTCTATTTGTCCTTAGAGTAATACACTCCATTTCTTTTTAGAGCTGCTTGACAGTGGAATTGAATTCTGTTTGCATAATTGAAATATTTTTATTTATACATTATATTGCTGCAATATAATTATTATTTAATAACTTTGAAAGAATCTGTACTGTATAAAGCGCTATAAAGATAAAGGTGATGTCATTTGATGATCGGAAACGTGCTGTAGAGATTAAAGTACTATTTATGTCCTACTAGCCATACTGTTTTTAGATACACAGTGATAGTTTGTAGTTTACATGTGTATGTATATACGTACAAATACAAGTGTTACATTTATAATTACTATTCCCCACCTCCAGTTCACTTTGAAGATGAAATGTCACATGGAGCGCATTGCTTTCTGGGAAACAGTATCCCATGCAGCGTCTTCAGATGCACACATCAAATTTCAGCCAATGTAGCAGGTAATCCGGGCATTCCATGCATACAGAAAATTCACATACTATTCACAGTATACACACAGCATACTGCAATATAGTATGGGTAGTATGCCATTCCGAACAGCTTCTGTACTGATTTCAGTGTACTTGAGTTATATTTAGAAGATTCTAGCGAATATAGTAGGCCATCCGGGTATTACATGCATACAGAAAATGTGCATGCACAGCATACATACTGGATACTGCAGAAATAGTAAGAGTAGGACTGATGAGTGTAGTAAAGTAGTTAAAACAAGAAATAGGTTATTAAGGAGAGTTAAAAAGTCATATTCTTTTGATGACTTTATTGCATATAAGAGAGCACAGGCAGCGGTAAGGAAAGTTATCCGTGTAGCTAAAAGAAATCATTGGAGAGAATATTGTGATAGAATTGGTGAAAATGTAGACATCAGCGATGTATGGGGAATGATCAGAAAAATGGGAGGGAACAGTATAACAGTATATAATAAGTGGAAATAAACAAGTTATCAGTAATAAAGAAAAGGCAGAGGTTTTGGCTGAGGCATTTGAAGGTGCATAGTAATGATAACATTTCAGAATGTTTCAGAACATGACATGGTGTGGAAGGAAGGGCTGTTAATTAAATTAGATCGAATGGGCATCAAGGGGAGGTTATATAACTGGATTATGGATTTCTTGCAAGAACGAACAATACAAGTGAGAGTAGGTACTGAATACTCTGATATTCATCAAATAGACAATGGAACCCCTCAAGGAAGTGTTTGTAGCCCCATACTTTTTAATATAATGATAAATGATATTTTTGGGGAAATTGAATTAGGAATAGGAAAAGCATTATATGCGAATGACGGAGCTTTGTGGAAAAAAGGGAAGAACCTGCAGTATGTAGGGCAAAAAAATGCAGGAGGCTATAGATGTTGTTGAAAATTGGGCTAATCAATGGGGTTTTCGTCTTTCAGTTGAAAAAACCCAGGTAATATGTTTTTCAAAGAAGAAGAGAACTCCTGAAGTTAAATTAAAGTTGTATAAACAAACATTAGAACAAGTATCACTCATAAGGAGTATGGATGGATTCCAAATTAACATTTGGGTCACATATTCAGAAGTTAGTTGATAAATGTAAGAAAGGAGTCAATGTGCTGAGGTGCTTGGCAGGAGTAGATTGGGGAGCTACTAGACGTTCTCTTAAAAGGGTATACAGTGCATTAATTAGGTCAGCAATTGATTATTGTAGAATAGTATATGGCTCAGCATCAGCCTCATTATTAACTAGGATAGAGGTAATTCAAAACCAAGCCCTTAGAATATGTTGTGGAGCGTTTAGATGCTCTCCTGTGACAGCTTTGCAGGTAGAAATGGGTGAAACACCACTAGACATTCGTGAAATTCAGCTTAAAATGGTATATTGGACTGGTATTAAAGGTCATTTTACCAATCATCCAGTAAAAAAAAATACTGGAGAGCTGCTGGGAATATGAGCAGACATATATGAATAGTTTTGGCTGGACAGTAGGCAAGCAGGCTCAACAAATAGATATCAGTAATATCGATATTAGCTGTGCCAGTATATCCACCTTGGTTTTTTTCTATGCCAACAGTTGATTTGCAGATATTTAATTTAATAAACGAAAACAAGAAATATGTTCCCAAAGAGACAATAGTGCAGCAGCATTTAGATAGTCATTACTTTATACAGATGGTTCTAAAGACCCAGAAACTGGGCGTACAAGTGCTGCCATGTATATTCCTCACTTTAAATATGTCTGCAAAAATAACTTCTAATAATATATCAGTATATGCCGCAGAGATGATTGCTATTCAGATAGCTTTACAGTGGGTGGAAGAAATCCAACCAACAACAGTGGTAATCTGTTCAGATTCATATTCTGCACTCACAAGTATACTGAGTGGAAAATCACTCCAGATGATAGGAAGACATGAATCTGGTCAATGTAATCATTGTGGACTTCCAGAAACTGTAGCGCATGTGCTGATTAACTGTAGGGCAAATGAAAGGGAAAGGATACAGTTAAAAGAGGAATTAAAATCTGACGGCATTAATTCTATGACATTACAGAATGTGTTAAACAGTTCTCATAAAGCTCTTATAAATTTTCTGAAAATAACAAATTTATATAATAATATATAGAAGTTTTTTTGTTGTTGAGAATTAGCATTTCCCTTGATATCAGCGCCTCACACTCCATCCCAGTAGGCAGCGGAATATGCACCAAAAGCTGGTTTGCCAACCGCCAGTAAACATCATAAGAAGAAGAAGAAGAATAGTAAGAGTAGTATGATAGTATGGCATTTCGAACACAGCCCTTGTTGTCAGGGTTCGCACGGCATTGTGGGTAGAGTAGGTCAGATGACCCTCGCCTCTCTTGTGAGGGGTACAGCTGCTGTCACACACTGAAGGGAAACGCCGATATTTACAGGTACGTTTGCGTGATTTTGACGTTATCGTTGACTTTTCGTGTTAAACCTGTGAGGTGAAATGAGCGACACCGTGACAGTGGTGCAGAAATGTCGCGTGCGGTTTCTAAGGTGGATCGTGTAGCGGCCGCAGTTAGCGAGCTAGCAAGCTAGCATCAGTGTGAGTGTAACAGGACTCATGGGGGATGGGGTAGACTGAACTGGATAGCTTTTCTCAGTCAAACTTCAGATTTGTTTGCTTTGCCTGACATGACACACACGGAAAATCTGCGTGGTATGTTTCATAGTAGTGGAGCAATACAGTTTTAGCTCAGCGAGGCAT